ACTCCAGAACTGTGGGAAAATGGATTTCTGTTGTTTAAGCCACATAGTCAGTGATATTCTGGCACAGCAGCCCAAATAGACCATAAAGGCCCCAGGAGGAGATGACAATTCAGGACGTATGTGTGCTCAACTGCAGCCTCAGTGGTCTCTTTCTGCTAGAGTTATCTACCTCACTGGTAACTTTATGTTCATCTACTCAACAAACTTTTGTGCTTTGATTATTTTGTGGATCTACCCCCCGAACAAGTTAGAAATTAATTATACCTGCAATTTAGAAAAGAAGGAGGGCCCTTGTCCCTAGAAAATGAGTGAGCGTTTCCAAGCAGCTTTGATCTCCACAGGCAGAAAAGGTGAAAGAAACTTCTGGTGTGAGCAAAGACCCAGAACCTGAAGAAGGAAGGCTTGGCTCCTTCATTCGTCCCACTGGTCTTTCTTTTGAATACCTACAATATGCCAGCCAGCAGTAAAGAAGGGATGCAGGGAATAAAACAGACCTGCCCTCTGCTTCTGGGAACACGATGAAAAATTATTCAGAGCACAGAGAATGTGAAAGGGGTAATGGGAAGTAAAGTTTGGAGAGTGGGAAGGGAACAGATTGTGGCAGCTTTGAACTTCTGTCCAGAAAAATATTATTTATCCAGGAGGCACATAGGGGGAGCCATTGCAACTTATCAAGCAAGAAAGTGCCCTGGTCATGGTTGGCCTTTAAAAATATGAATCTGGACGCTATCAGTTGGCTCAATTGGAGTGGGAAGAAACCAGAGACTGGAGAGCAGTTAAAGGATGAATACTGCAAACCCGTAATAAAATTCTAAGGCCTCCAACTGACTGGGTGGACACACTCCTTCTTGGCCAAGGGCATCCCAAAGAAACCTGAAAACCTAGTTTAGGCCACGATGGGAAGGGAGGTGTTAGACACACCTTGGAGTTTAAACACCACTAACCATCATTTACATTAAAATAGAGATCACAAGACTGCCATACAAAACAGACTCTTTGTAGCAACAGGATGTCAAATTCCACCCTGACTCTGGCATACCATCACATGACAGATAACACATCCTGAAGAAAATTAATGTGTTTTATCCGAAATATCTTTCTTTGATATATTTTGGAATGGATCTGCAAAGCCATTTTTGTGGGAGAAATTTTTTTTTTCCTATAGAGAACCTCCTTCCCTTACTAGGTTTTTTTAGAGAGACCGACACCATCTAAGACTCAAAAGGAGACTTTTACCATCTATTCTCTCTGAAACTTGCTATCTGGAGGCTTCATCTACATAACAAGAACCTTGGTTTCCATAATCCTCCTTATCTTAGCTCAAGCATTTCTTTCTGTTGATTTCAACTCTTTAGGCAAAGCTTAACTCTTTAAATCAATTGCCAATTGAAAGTTTTGACTCTACCTATAACCTGTGAGCCCCCCACTTCAAGTTGCCCCACCTTTCTGGGCTGAACCAATGTATTCCTTACATGTATTGATTTATATATTTGCCTGTAATTTCTATCACCCTAAAATATATAAAACCAAGCTATAACTCAACCACTCTGGGCAAATGTTCAAGGACCTCTTGAGGCTGTGTCCCAAGCCATAGTCATTCCTATTTGGCTCAGAGTAAACTTCTTCAAATATTTTAATTTTTTTCCCATCAACAGTACTAAAGCTCAGATAAGCTGTAATAAGAGCCTGAATGAAGGTAATATGAAAATTATTGATGTTTGCTGGCACCATACCATATACTAATATCAACAGAAAATCTCAAAAGGGATATATTGTCTTAAACACATAGAATTAGTCAGTAAAAAGAGTCAAACTGCAAAATATTTGAAGAGATATATTCTGACCAAATATGAAGACCATGGCTTGTGATGCAGCTCTAGGAGATCTTGAGAACATATGCCCAAGGTGGTAGGGCTACAGCTTGGTTTTATACATTTTAGAAAGACATTAGACATCAATCAATACATGTAAGATGCACATTGGTTTGGTCTGGAAAGGCAGGACAAATTGAAGTAGGGGCTTCCAGGTCATACGTAGATTCAAAGATTTCCTGATTGGCAATTGGTTGAAAGAGTTTATCTACAGACTTGGAAGCCATAGAAGAGAGTGTCTGGGTTAAAATAAGGGGTTATGGAGACCAAGGTTCTTAATATGCAGATGAAGCCTCCATGTAGCAGGCTTCAGAGAGAATGGATTGTAAATGCTTCTTATCAGACTTAAAAAGGTGCCAGACACTTTCCTTAATTTTACCCTAAATCAGGAAAAAACCTGGAAAGGGAAGAGTGAGGAGTACAGAATGTAGATTTTCCCCACAAGAGAGCTTTTCAGGGCCATTTCAACATATGTCAAAGAAATGTATTTTGGGGTAAAATATACTTCCATTTCTTTCAAGGCCTGCAATGTTGTCATGTTGACACCTAATTGCTACAAAGAGTCTGTTTTGTCAGTTATAAGGTTTCTGCTTTAATGTTAATACTGGTTAACTGTGCTTGAATTCCAAAGGGCTGGAGCTATAATGAGGTATGTCCAACCACCCATTCCCATCATGGCCTAAACTAGTATTTCAGATTTACTTTAGGATACCCTTGGCCAAGCGGAGGGGTCCTTCAGTTAGCTGGGAGTTAGAATTATATTTCTGGTTTACAATACTATCACGTATTGGCCTTGGAAAACTCATTAACACAGAGATTTGTCTTCTAATATCAAGGCAACAAAGCATAGGTCTTTTGGCCACATCTAATACCATTGTAAGCTGGGAAGTGGTGGCCACGTTGCCCGATGTCCTATAGATCAATAAACTCTTAATATCGAGTTCAAAAGCCAGAAAGTCTCCCATGACCTTATAATAAATTTCAGCAAATTATAATAAAACAGAAGGAATTGTCAGATTTAAGTTAGGAAAATGCAGTTGGAATCTATTCTGAGACCTTCTGGCTATGGACCATGGGCAAGTGACTTCATCAGTGCACTCCCTCCCCTACTCCAATCATTGAACTTCAGTTAAATATTTAACATCTGGCTCTCTAAGGGAAAAAAAAAAAGCCCTGATTTATAGCTTTGCCAATTTCTAGAGTTTTAAAACTCCCATCATAGCCAGTTTCAAGCCAGAAACGTGATGTCAAGAAGTTCACTGAATTCCTAAAACTTAACAATTGATTCTCAGCAAGCCAGCATGAGCCAGTTCTAGCACGCCACTGCTTCCAAAGCTTAGCTTCTGCATCTGAAAAATGGGAATCACACCACTTCCACATGGCCATTGTCAAGATTGAGATAATGTAAGTGAAAATACCTAAGACAGGGTTATTAGCATACATGAGGGGTATTTGAGAACTGTCTGTTCGGTATTTACTGAGCACCTGCTATGTAGCACACACTGTTCCAGGAACTGAAGATTCATCGGAGAACAAAACAAAAGGTCTGCTCAACTGGGATTGATGTTCTAAATGGGAGAAATAACCAGAAAGAAAAAAAGAGAAAGAGAGAGAGAGATGGATGATAGATAAATAGCCAGTCAGTTAGTCTGGTAGTGATAAGTACTAGAAAGAAACATCAAACCAGATAAGGATGAGGAGAAAGAGGAGTGGTTATACTATGTCAAGTATGATAGCCAAGAAAGACCTCACTGATGAGAGACATCTGATAAGAAACCTGAGTGAAATGAAGGCATGACTATGGGATTATATGAGGAAGGGTATCCCAGGCAAGGCAAGAGCTCATGCCAAACCCTGGGGCAGGTATGATGGGCTGGTCCGACCCCTGAGACAGAAGGAGGCCAGTGGAGTGGGAGCATCTGAGTGAGTAGACACTGGTGGAAAGCACAGTGGGAAGGGAAGCCAAGAGCAAAGGTGAGGCGGGGGAAGGTCTCAAGCCCTGGCCATGTCTTAGGCACATTTACACATCTGGAGACATAGTGGGCAGGGACCAGGGACAGACAGGGCTGCACTCCTGTCCCTCTGCCTTCCCTGTACAGAGGAGGATCTACCAGCTGTGCTCTAACAGTCTCACTCCTTCACGTTTTCAACTGTTCAAATGTTTGCCCAAATGGCAAATATTGGCTCCAATGGCTTCCATGGTCAGGCAGCAGTCCAGAGGCAAAAACTGAGCAGAATTTGAGATCTTGCTTCTCATGGACCTACCTGGCCATGGAAGGAGACAGAATACATCAAAACGTAGATAAATGCATTAGCCGGGCTATGAAGGCAATCAAATAAGGTGGGCTGATAGAGTCCCCCTCTTAGATATAAAAATCCTCTTGGGCCAGGATCCTGCTGTTGCCTTATATTTAAATGCCCAGTTCTAGCACAGTCCTAGCTGGTGCTCTCAGTAGCATTGCTCTGAACAATTGACCAAGAGTAACCAAAGCAGGCTGCAATAGCCTCAAGAGATGAAGAGAGACCTTTTCCTCCTGGCATGAACTTTTCCAAACTACAAGGCTGAAGAAATGCCAACTCTTTATATAACTAAGAAATCCCTAAGACATGAGGTTTTTTGTTTGCTTGGTTTGTTTCTTCTTTTGTTTTTTAAATGCGGTTCTTAGGACACCTGCCACAAAATCATCTGGGGTCTTTATTAAACAAAATACAAACATCTGGGCCACGCCTCAGACCCACTGAATCAGAATAACTGGAGAAGGAGCCCAGACAACTGTATTTTCAATGACCTCCTAAAGAATGTGGATGCTACATTACTGATGTTTGAGAGCCACTGCTGTAAAGCAAAAGTACAACGCACAAGGCTTCTTTTCATTTCAGTTGTAATTGTCTCCGCAAAGCATTCTTAAGAAGCTCGTCTGTAAACTTCCTCTGCAGAAACTGCAGCACCAGTCACAAGCTGATTGTTCAAAGAGATGCAGGGGGAAATGGGGCCCGTGTGACTGAGAGCAGCCCATCAACTGATCCATTCATTCAAAAAACTCCACGTGCAGAGAGACTGGATGGCTTTAGTGGAAGCGCCTCACTGTCTGGGGAGCTGAAGGAGAGACTTTCTGAAATATTCCCTACCTGTGAAGAGGGCATGGTAGTGGAGGCCCTTCTCCTTGTCCTGATGGGAGCAGACATCAAATAAGTAGGCTTTGATGGGCCCATCAATGAAGTCAGCAGCAAAATCAAAGAGAACCACACCTATCATGGTGACACTTATGGCCCAAACCAGCTTCCTCCTTGGGTTAGCAATCAAAGCTAAAAGAAAAATAAACATTGGTCTCCTAAATCCTGTTTTAGAATCATCCATCTGTGTTTTGTTATTTCCACCTAAACCTCTTGTCAGAAAATCGTCTCCCTTGCTTTTATTTTGCTTTTTGTTCCAAATAAAATACCTTCATATTTTTTCAGGCTTTAAAAAATTATGCAAGTGAATGTCCAGAAAGCACAAATCTATGGAGACAGAAAGTAAATTAGTGGTTGCCTAGGGCTGGTGTATAGGAGAAAAGGGGAAGTGACTGTTGATGGTAATGGGTTTCTTTCTGGGGTGATGAAAATGTTCTAGAATTAGAGAATAGTAATGGTTGCACAACCCTGTGAATACACTAATTGGCACTGAATTGTACACTTTTAAGTAGTGAAATTTCTGGTGTATAAAATATCTCTTTAAATAAAAAAGTATGCATGTTTATTGCAAACAATTCTAGGGATATAGAAAAAGCTGAGGGAGATGCTTCCAATCTCAGCCCCAGAGAAGGTCATGCTTTGAGGCCTCCTTTTACGCACTTCTGCACATATGGACACAGGGGTATAATGGTAGTCAAGTGCAGTGCTTCTCAAAGTTTGGCATGTTGAACTATCGCTTGTACATCTTGTTAAAACACAGATCACTGGCCCCATTTCCCAAGACTCTGATTCAATGGGTGGGCCTGAAGTGGGCCTGAGAAACTGCCCCACTCTAACAGCCCCTGCTGATCATGAGGGGCAGGTCAGAAGCCACACCTTGACCTGCACTGGAACAGCACTGATGTAGTAACTATATAATTTCATATAATTTCACCTCCTCACAATTTTTAACAGCTAGATATTCATTCTATGGATACCCTGTAATTCATTCACCCAATCTCCTATAAAAGATACATTGTTGTTTCTCTTGTTTCAGTTTGTTTTTTAAACTTAAGAATAGCATAGATTATATATACACATTTTAAAAATTACAGTATAAAATTAAATGAAAAATAAGCCTACCCGCAGCTTCTCACCTCCAGTCCTTCAGTAATCCTCCTTAGAGTCAACAAAGGTTATCGGCTTTCTGCTCAGTCTCCCAGAAATATCTTACATTTGTACATTTATGCTTTTTTTGAAATATGTACAAATGATAATTGATTATCCTGCCTCATAATCACCTATTCAGCTAGCTTGAGAGTTAATGGTCTAAAAATGTGTGGTATTTATTGTAATCCTTTCTACAATGCAACTTTATTGTACAACCATCAATTACTGATTAATTGGTAGCTGATTAATGGCCAGAAAAAAAATGTCTACCCTGAGGTTTGTTTTTGTCCAGAATTTTCAATGCCAGAAATGTCCTCTTGAGCTGGTGGGCTTATGCCCTATGCCTATTAAGAGGCCCTACATAAAACTATGAACAGAATTAACTCATTTGGATACACAGGTGATTTATTGTAAATATTTATGGAACTATTTGGCAGCTGGTCAATTTGATAAAGTATTAAATAGAGCATAATGGGCTCAAAAAGTAACTCAATTGATAAATATGTAAAAATATTCAATTTGATAAAATAGATACAAATTTAATCTTGTTTTTAAATCTTCACAACAATGAAAGATATTTATTTTTATATTTCTAGAAGTAGAGGCTCCCCAGCCACAGAATCTGGGCCAAATTCGTCAAAGGCGGAAGTTCATTGTAACCTAGGAGAGATCAATTCTAACAAATTCCTATGAAAGGTCAAACAAATTAACATTCTCCTCCTGCAGAGGTGCACACTAAGACACATATCCCTGCCCACCCCACCTTGTGCAGTCCACTTACCTGCTACCACGGCATCCCCATTGAGGTACAGAGCCATGCCCACCAGCATCATGACTCCCAGGGTGAGGATGTAGGGTCTCCGGCGGCCCCACCTGGACCGGCAGTGGTCACTGGCC